ATTTTTTCTTATCTTTGTTACAAAAGAGTGCCTTGTATGTGRCTGTTGCTTAAAGTTTACTCAACTGTAACTTTGGGTACCTATAAGCACACCATTTTGAGTTCTTGCCAATTCTTGGTATCATAAATCTTTAGGTATACCTTGAAAAACAAGATAAAAACAGTTTTCATTAAAAAAGATTGTGGTACTATTTTAAAAAAAACTTGCCTTCAATAAATCTTGATAAGAGGAGACTTAAATTAATACCCAGAGTAGCATGCATGAGAAGTGATGGGTCATTGTTCTGACATTGCTGTTTTTTAGTTGAAAATTCAAGTCAAAATTAAAACCCCAAATTGAACTAACCTTCTGTTTTTTAAACTGAAATAGAAAAAATACCAGCAATAATAATATATCTCATAAGTCTGTAAAAATTATACAAAATAATGCATAAAGAATTGTTACCATAGTGGCTAACACAGAAAAGATAATACCTTGATCATCAACTTTACTCCATTAAACACATTGGCTCCTGAAATAATTTTTCAAAGATTTTTATTTTTCTTGGCAGAAATTGAATGAACACAAAGGTTATAGATTACCACTAATCTTTTGAAAAATTATGTACATATGTGGCTTTAGAGGAGAGCTGGACAAATTTTTTTTCTGATATAAAAAACACAACATACTTTTTCAATTATTAATCTTTTCAGAGTATGACTTATAGTACTTATATAAGTAAAGCCTAAGCTAACTGAATTTTAAATATGACAGCAAAATTTTGGTCTTCTCTCTTTTTGCCATGTCACAGATGCTGCTTTTGAAATTATTATTGGTAAAATAACAATAAAAAGCATATAGTATACGTCTGAACAATGTTTTCACATTACSTTTTATAAAGCAAAGACCTCAAAAATATTTAAAAACTTTTTTAGATTCTGTAAAAATCCRACAATGTTCTTTGAGCTTTATTTTTTTATTTTTTTTATTTTTTATTTTTTTTGAGCTAGGTGTGGTGGCGCTCACCTGTMACTCCAGGAACTCAGAAGGCTGAGGCAGGGAAGGAGTCAAGTTTGAGGCTAGCCTAGGCAACTGCCTCAAACTGAAAAGTAAAAAGGGCTGGGATGTAGCTCAGTGGTAGAGCAACTCTGGGTTTGATCCCCAGTTCAGAAGAGGTTGTGTGGGAAAAGAGAGAAAAGAAGAAAGGGGGAAATTTTTTTTTTTTTGGATGATAAGTACATAAATGCAGGCAATAAACAAGTAGATCATTAAATATGTACGATATTTTACATAGTGATAAATCCTGTGCACAGATAAAATGCAATCAGATGAGGTGGCACATACCTGTAAAGTTGTCTACTTTGGAGGCTTATGCAGGAAGATCACAAGCTGGAGGCCAACCTGAGTAGCTTATTAAGAAACTATCTCATGGTAAAACAAACAAACAAATACATGACAAAAAAGACTGGGGATGCAGCCCAGTGGTGGAACATTCCTGGGTTCATTCTCCATAACTAAAAGAATAAAAAAGACAAAAGAGGGGTGTTGAAAACTGTTAATTATTTCTGGGCAGAAGGTAGGGTGAGGTAGATGGGTGTTATAACTCAATGGTAGTGTTTACCCACAAGCTCAAGGCCCTGGGTTCAATTTTCAGCACTCCAAAAATAYAAATGAAATGAGAGCTGTGCTAGAATTTGACTAAAATTAATTTTTTAAATCAAAAACTAGGAATATTGGTAACATTATATTGTGATATCATTCATATACATGTATGAATATAGTAACAATGAATCCCACTGTTATGTATAATTATAATGAACCAATAAAAATACAGAAAATAATGAAGTAAGTACATGAGGGAGTGTTTAAAAATTGGTATCTTTTCTTTTTTTTTAACCAGATAGGATTACCAAATAGTCATCTAGTTATTTTTAGAAGGAAAATAAGATAACTGGTTGGAGAAGGTTATGCTTTTAAAAGTGTGACAAATGATATATTCAAATAGTGTGATTTTAGGAAATTCCTTATTTCATAACTTAAAAAATATAAAAATTACCAAGAAGAAAGAATTTGACAATTTCAAATTTGTAAAAATTTTCCTTAAATACTCACTGAAAAATCCAACTCAAACCTTTTTCTTAATTTTACATGGGTTTTTAAAGATCTCAGTGATGTCTCCATTTAGATTTATTCCAAACAGTAGAAATAATTATTGGCAAATTTGTAAGAAAGCAGAAAAATTGGCTTTTATTCAGGGGGGACATCCTTTTATGTTTAAGGATAAAATATATGAAGATTTGGATTTATATTGACTTATCTGTTCTACTTTTGGTGTGTGGTGGGAAGTTACTGAGRATTGAATCCAGGATACTTGTCACGAGCTACATCCTCAGCCTTTTTTAATGTTTATTTTGAGACAGGGTTTTCTAAGTTGCTAAGACGGGGCCTGATCTTGGAATGGTCCTGCCTCATCCTCTTGAGCAGCAGGAATTACAGGTGTGTGCTACCATGTCCAATTGTTCTGAGTAACTTTTTAAGAATGCTATCAATAATACATTCCATCTATGAATCTGAAATTTATGAAATAAAAATGTTTTCCTTTTCATTATGAAATCACTTTAAAATGATAATGCACTGTAGAAAAATCTCTATCATTTAAAAAATTTCCYTTAAGACTACATTTGAAATGTAAAAAATGGAAAATCACTTTTTAAAAAATAATTACTTTTTTCTCTTGTCATTTTGAAGGCTATTTATGTAATATAAATTTAAGCTTGTATTTGCCCAGTGGTGAGATGTGTTTCAGTTATAAACCAAAGAAGTTCTGTTAGGTCACAGTAAGTTATCATCAAAGACACAGCTGCATAGTATGCTCCAGGCTGGTGCTCAGAGGCCACTGGAATTAAGAGCAATGGTCTTTYGCTTCAAACTAAATCAGTGAAGCCACATTTTGTCATTTATTGGGGTCCTCCCTAAGACGTTGCTCAAAAACTAAATTCCATACCCAAATATTCTAAAAGCCACTGATCAAGGAAACAGAAATTTATCAGAAAAAAAGAGACTTGTCAATTTGCTAATAATTAATTTCTCTCTCCCTCCCTCCTTCTCTCCCTTTCTTTCTCCCTCCTTATTCTACCAAAGTATTTTGTGGCACATTTCAACTAACTTCAGATTATGTAACTTGATGCAAGAATTTTAAAATAATTATTATAACACAAACTCTAAACTGGGTTTGGTGGGCACAATCTAATCCTGGCTGAGGTAGGAAGATGGCAAGTTAAAGGCCATCCTGGGCAATTTAGTGAGACTGTCTGAAACAAAATAAAAAAACAAATAAAAAGGACTGGGATGTAATTCAGTGGTTGCCTGGCCTGTGCAAGGTCCTGGGTTCTTGGGTTCAAATCCCAGTACCACCAAAAAAATACAAAAAGAAAGGAAAAAGCGCCATGAACTCCCAAGTTGACAAAAGGTGTTTTAGTAAATGGTGATTACAACAAAACTTTAAAACAAGTTTCATGTCAGTTTAAAATAAAAATTTTGGGGTTCAAAAACATAATCTTATTTGTGATTAGGTAATTTCTTTAAAAGTACATGTTTTTTTTTTTTTTTTTTTTTTTTTTAAAGCAAACCCTTGAGTAGAGAGGCAGGGAGGTGTGGGATGTGAGATGTGAATTGTGGGCATTGGGACAAAAAGAAATGCTCAAATAATTTTATATGAAATAAGACACAGAATTGGCAAAGGGATAAGAAAACTACTGTTTCCAAAGAATGCTGAACATCTCAGTTTGTCTTGGGTTGCAAGTTAGGGGCAATAAGAAGTAAGATGTGAACTTAGATAATGCAAAGTTCTTAATATTGGAGTAAGGACTTGGGCTTTATTTTCCGTAAATAAGGGATCCACAGCAACAGAGATTTCAAGTAGGAGATTCCAGAGATATTACAGAGGTAGAACAGATAAAATTTGATAACTGATTGAAAGCTAAGTGAAAGAAAGAAATAGAAGTGAAAGATGAGGCTGAAATGGAGTTCAACAAGGACTATAAAGATTATAAAGAACTTAAAAATGGACTTTCAGTATCTCCACTCATTTGTTTATGTAAAGGGGATTTCAAAAGCATAACCAAGATATTTGACTGATACAAATTTTATTTTTCATGCTAAAATTTTTTATAAATTTCATTTTGTCATACACAATTACAAGAGTGACAGTTACAACTGAATTAAAAAAATAGGATTTGGGGGMATTTCTATTCATTTGCTATTATCAATAAGCATGGTTTATTACATGAATAGCAGTAATAGTTATAATTACAGAATTACTCGATTAGTAAATTTAATAAATATGCTATGATGGAGGTCAGTACATAATATAAACAAAGTATAAATGCCAAATATATTTCACAATGAGAATTGAGGGTTAAACTCTAATAATACCATCATTGCAATACCTGACCAAGTGGGTCATGTGAACGAGCAAGCATTCCAAATCATTGTCCAAAATCTTTTTTAGTTCAGTTCTAGAAGAAAATGTAACATAAAATACAAAGACATGGCCTGCTGTTATCTTACATCTAAAACCAGCCATTACATAATGAAATTTTGGATCTTTTGCAACTTGGTATTTGTTCCACCTCACACAACAATTAGAAGATAAATAKCACTTTTAGTACTTAGAATCACCCAACCATAGCTGATACAATATCTCCCAGACTTCTAGTTTCTAAAATTCTGGGGGAAGTGGGACACTTTGAACTGTAATAGTCTACATGGTAGTAATATTACCTTTGCGCCATTGGCCCAATACTAATTCTTTTTTTTAGTATACAAAATATGCTGAAAACATTTCTCTTAAACACATTTCAATTAATGTAATTAAATAGAAGGCAACAACTTCCTTCTAGAACAGTTAGATTTAGCTATGAAAAACTTGCCATATATTAGGTAAATTAACTCATGAAATATTTTTAGGGTTAAATACAGAGCTTACTATGTTCTTCAATTTAGAATCTATGCTAAACGTGTGTAAAAAGAACTATAGACATAATTGTACGAGCAGTTCAAAAAATRGAAACTACCATTTTTTATCCCTATAGTGACTTTATTTCAGTTGATTTTATCCAAATTAAGGATAAATTTCAAAAAGCCACTGTGAAATTTGTTTTCTTAACAAGCACAAAAATACACAAATGTTCATTCTAATCAGAGGTTTCAGATGACAACTGAAAGTTTTTACTTTGATATAAGTACATCTGGAATACAGGAGTTAAATTTTGATCCAGGCACATCACAAACATRTGTTGTTTTAATGTGACAATAAAAATTTTAAAGAAATATTTAACAGTCTTTTTATCCCACCATTTTGAGCACATATTTTTTTCTTAAAAATAAAATGGTTTACAATAAACATCTCATTTAAAATCTGATTTTACAAAAAAGAGAGAGAAATAAAACTAATTACTTTTAGATGCATTTGAGCCAAGTAGTTGCTGCTTCTAGTTACTGTGAGCTAGAAAGCATTACCTGGTGACATTATGGTAAGTGACSTTTTGGTTATAATCTAGTAACTTGATGTTCAATGCATATTGCTTATTAAAGAAGATTGGTATATACTGGAAAATTAAGAAACTTACATCATTTATAAAGTACCTAACTGAAGCGATTTTCTTAAATAAGAAAAATTATTATATAAAGAACTGTTTTTTCTAACTACTTTGAAAAATAAAGAAAATGGTGGGGGAGAGTTAGATACATGGCCTTCAATGAAATATCCATAATTATATTGCAATAATAAGGCTAAGAACCACAAAAGATTCATTAGGCCAAAGTTTYAAGTCTCCTAATATGTTACTTATATTATGTTTGACAGTTACTTCCTACCTATTTTTATATTGCACTGTCATTTCCAAACTATACACCAGAGGATCTGAGGTGAGTTATATTTTGTTTTTGTGAAATTTTTTAGAGAAAGTAATGACCTCATTAGCTTAAGCAAACAAAAACCTACACATAAATAAAACTACAGTCATTTAAATGTTATATACTACAGTAAAGATGGTCATTTAACAATTTTAAAAATTTTATCTGGTATCTAATATTTTCATACTGTTCTTATTTCAAATGTCAAATGCAATAATCACCATTATTTATACATAATTTACTGATACCATGTCAGTTTTATCTTTATTGGAATGATCAAGGAGCATTAAATCTTAATGAAAAAATTAAGCTGTAGAATATTCTCTAAATATCCTCATTTAAAATATTTCAGGGAACAACTTAAAGTCACCATAATCTTATTTCATCAGTACTATTTTGATTGTCACTATTAACCAAGTGAACTTTTCTCTTAATTTTTCATCCCACTAACCTGAGTAAGTAGAGCTTTCCAATGAACATTTTAAATGATAGGGCATAGAGGTGAGACACAGAATAACCAGGTATAGCCCCAATTAAATTATGTACTAAATATGTGATCTCATAGTAAGTCCCTCAATATGTCCATGCTGCTCTTGCTTCTAGGTGAGGATCCTATCATCTTCCTTTGGAATATGATCTAAGAAAAACGGCGAAAGAGGGCTAAAAGTAGCAAATGTGTAATATACATAATATTGACACATAAAGGCTTTATTACAGTGTTGGAGTTTGTGAGAATGACCTAACTATTAAATTGTAACTTAAGTTATTCCTGAAAACATTAGAAAAATGTTGTAATATCATTATCATGTCCSTGGGTAAGGTTTGAGAGCAATTATAAAAATATATTAATACCTATCCTATTCTAGTGTGTAAGAAACCACACTGGACACTGACCTAAGAAAAACTAAAAGTTTCATTCATTATTTCCAGATTGATGTTTTTTATGGCTATATTTTTACCTCTCCTGTAATTTTATTAATTTACAGTCTGTTTTGTTCTAGGCTTATTCTTATAGTTACTCAATTCTCTCTGAACATAGTCATAGTGATTTTATTTTTGTCTTCTACTGGTCTTTTTGCTTTTTTAAAATTCTAGGGTTTTTTTTTTTTTCCTGGTTCAATCTCCATTGAAACTAGGTACAACAAAGASTTTTCATTTTAAATAGCAAAGAAAAGACATTAAAAATTAAATCGTACAAAATGTTCTTCCATTTTCTTGCTTCTTCAGGGGATACTATGCTTGTACTCTAAGAAGGATAAGTCATAAACCATCTGAAAAATCTGTTTAATTTACACTCTGTAATCTTCCAAAGTTAAAACATGTAGAGCAGAAAAATCAGAACTGATTATCATATGAGGCATATCTAAAGAACGACTCTGAAGAAATGAATGGTGACACTGATGTAAAGGGAACACAAAAGCAGGGTGGAACAAACAGAAGTAATAAAAGTTCTGCAAAAAAAATTTTTTTTCCACATGGAGGGCCAAGGAATACTATATCTCTAGTTTAGTAGCTAAATGTGAAGCTGGTCAGGAATGGAGAAACAGATTTAGAATCCCTCCTATAGATACTGGCAATTTTTGAAGTCAAAGGATTAGAATGTTTGATGCAAAAGGGGGCCTAGGTCATTCATAGAAATAAATTATGTCAAAATGAGAGAATGTGGAAAAGTAAAAGGAGAATAATTTAAAAACATACAAACAGAATCAATATCAGAGAAGTATGTGGGTTCTAGGAAAATGGGAGAAAACACAGCAGAAGAAAAATGAAAGTAAAGACTGGGTTTGACTAGAAAGTCTGAATAAATTTAAATGGGCGATCTGGGATTAAAGTAAGAATGGCCCAGTTAACAATGGAATAAAAAAAGAATAAGTGGTAGAAAGAAAGAAGGAAAAGAAAGAAAGAATGAATGAAAGAAAAGAGAAAAGAAAAGAAATATTCTACCCACTTAAAATGTCTACTCAAGAAAACTTGGAGTAAATGATCTGATAGCTAAGGGGAGACCTGAGTGTGTTTAAAGGTCAGAATTAAACAATTAAAGTTTATATTTAATACTTGAAAGAACAGGCTGTTTCAAACCTGCTAGGCACTTGGGGATGGGGGAAGGGAAACCTGATTTCTGTCACTAGGGAACAGAAAAAAATCGACCTCTACCCATTTACATTTTTTGGCATCATACTCAGCTCTATGCTTAGTGGTATGTATTTAAAAGTTCCTTAGAACCTGGAAAGTTAAAAGGCAAAAAGACCAAATGGAAAATGGTACTGGAAATATAAAACAGCAAAATGAACATACCAATAATTTATATGTGAACATAATTTTAAATAAAACTAAAACCAAAAGCATCTAACTTTAGAAATGGAATTGCTAGAAGRTATCATATCCATGTGATGTGCAAAATGATTAGATTTTTAAAACCATAATATAGGTTTTATTTTTATATAGCCATGGCTATTTAGTGGCAGAATTTCTTGAATAATTTCTATCAAAGAAATAATTTCCATGTCTACAACATTCATAAAATTGGCAACTGGGTACCTATTAGTTGTGAAAAGTGTCTGCAACATTTTTTTTAGTATGGAAAGCAACATAAAAAAAGTGAAGCATCAAAATAGTTTATTTCAAATCTGTTTTATGCCAGATCTAACATATAATTGGTATCTATTCACACTGTATAGGTTTCTGAATTTCATTTCCTATTTTATTTATTTTTATGATCAACTTGCTTAAATTTTGAATCTGTACCACTTCATTTGATGTTTATTAAACCTGATAAAAAGCCATGCATAGTTTATTTACAATATTGTACATTAAAGGACTATGTTTAAAGATCACAGGAAAATTTCACAAAACTATAACTAATAAGGGAAGACACATGAAACACTTCAGAAGTTTTTAATAATTTTAGGTGCAGAATTTTGCAAAGATTATTTTGGTTGGTAAGTATTAGGCAATCACTAGTTTGAAATAAGACAAAATCATGCAAATGAGTAGAATTTCAACAAATTAAAAGCTAAAAATATTTAGCTAAAAGCCAAAATACTGTGTAGTTGAAATACTACCATGTAGTAATGGGAATTTATAAAATATGAAAAAATGAGTATTTTTAAAAGTTTTCCATGAATAATAGGCTTTCAGTAATTTTCTATAAAAACATTCAGAACATAAGTTTCTCAAATTATATTTATCACCAATGTCATGTTGTCAGTAAAGGTATGAATTGGAGCTATGACTTTTAAATAATTATTAAGTATAGTATAGAAGTCTCAGTTTTTCCCTTTGTGTCAGGGGAAAAGAAACCGAATCAGTAAATTCATATTCAAGTAACAGATCCTGATACAAATATATCATTAACACAGAATGGAGAGATGCAATAATTTCAAGTCCACATACTTTTAACCAAACTCTTAAAATAGAAGTGTAAACTTTAGGTTTGTTCAACTTAAGATCTCCTATTAGGAAATACCTCCTTCTTGAGAGTTTGGAAAATATTTGAGTATACTGTCTTCTCTAGTTTCACTTCCTTCAGTTTTTACTGTTGTGGCTGAAGAACATTTAGATATTCAGATTGCCCCAGCTGGTAAGTTGTGTTCCTTCCACAGTCGACATATTGGTACCTCTCCTGGGATATCTGTTCAGAGTGGCCAAAGTATGTTGTTGTCACGGTAACTCTAAAAATAAAATAAACAGGGAGAAATGTTCAATAGTTATATGAAAAGGTTTTCTACAGTAAGACTATTTTACACATAAATATCTTTTCCAGGGAAATATTATTTGATTAATGATAATGTTGTAAACATGATCGTCTTAGAGAATATGTCCCCCATGGACATACAAAAAGAGCTATCTGAGCAAGCTGTATGCAAATAAATACATATAATGAATATTTTAAAAATAGTTATCTTTAAGTTTAATAATATATAGTTCCCTCATCATAAGAAACATGTTAATCAAATATTAATTAATAGCCAAAATAGCAAACTTATAGCCAACAATATTTATTGGCTTAGAACATCCATTTTCTAAAGTAATAACATTACTTCTCCTTGTTGCTGTTTGAGATCATTTATCAAAGTACCAAGGAATTGGATGTTGAGCTTCATTCTCCCTGTTCCAAACCCTGCCATTTTTCTGAGCTCCTTTTTTTGGAGGGGGGGCAGGGAGTACTAGAGATTGAACTCAGGGGCACTTGACCACCCCAGCCCTATTTTGCATTTTATTTAGAGACGGTCTCACTGAGTGTTTAGTGCCTCGCTTTTGCTGAAGCTGGCTTTGAACTTGCAATCCTCCTGCCTCAGCCTCCTAAACCACTGGGATTACAGGCATGTGCCACCGCACCCAGCTGAGCTCTTATAACACAGATTCACTATTCGGTAGCCATGTGATTCTTCATTATTTCTCAGAAYAACCATATCCTAGTTTGTTAAGTGTGCTAATATTTAATTATATATCATTTTTGTAAAGACTTAAAACTCTATTGAGATGGCATTTGTAAAGATGTTGTTTATAATATAAGCTAATGGTATAAATCTAAAATTTTTATAAAAAATCTTTTTCAAGAAAATACTTATACTTACTGCATCATGAGTACTATGTTATGCACTTTGATGGATATAAGTGTGCAGAAATCACTGTTAAAGAAATTAAAAAGCGAATACATAAATTAATACATTACAAATTTAAAATTTTTCTGTGTTAAAGCTAGCAGAGATATTATTAAGAATACTATTTAAGAAGTATATTTTGATTGACATTTTCTATGTTCTAAATAATGATTTATATATTCATGACTTTTTATTCTAAATATATTTATGCATTCATCACTGAATTTATACAGTTGTTTTAATGTGTGCTACAATTACTTTTACATTTTGCTTACCTTTTAACATTTTAGTAACCAGTTTGCTAGTTACCCAGAAATTATATATMAAAAGATGATGAAATTTATAATTAATTATTTTTATTTAAGAAAACTTATTAACCATTTATACCCAATTTAAAAGCTTTAGAACTTCAAATSAATATTTTTAATCTTACTATACTAACACATTAATATGACACTATGTTTTTTATAACATAATGACTAAAAGTATAAAGTGACATATATGATCCCCTAATATGATGCTAAAAAATAAAAAAAATAAATTTCATCTATATAGGTATATATACATAAATGTTATTTATGTTCAGACAGGAAGATGAAAAAAATGACATGAGAGGCCAGAAGAAATATTGCAAAATGTCATGTTAACAGATAAGGGTATAGAAATTTTAAAAGAAAAAGTATATATAGATTTAATAATAAATTATAAAAATCAAAACTTACTACATATAACTCATTTCTTCTGCTATAATAGTAGGTACTGTATAATCAATCTGAAAGGCAAAATAAATAAAAGGGTAAAGAATCAACAGAGAATTGGATCCAAACATAAAAACTTCAAATATATGTCAAAAGTTCAATGAATTAGAAACCTTCCTTCTGAAGAACTTGATTCTAAGATTTTTATCTTATCCATGTAACACATTACAAAATCAAGTTTTTGAAGAAATCTGCAGCCCCCCTTCCCACATAATATGATAGACAAGGCTGAGACTGGTGTAACTCATTCCAAGTATTTCATAAGTGAGACTTACTTGTTTCATATCAAGTGGACCAATATTGGTTATGTTGTTTAAGCGTGCCTTTCCGATAACTGTTTTTGAAAACTGTACTTGAGCAGTGATGTTTTCAACTTCAACAGAATAATAGTTATTATTCGTTATATTTAATGTGTTCTGCAAAAGAAAGGAGGCAGAAATTGTACATTTACTTGAAAAAACAAATATGCATTAAAAATTAACAAGGTAAATAACTTCAGCTGTGGCTATGCTTCATTTATCGAAAGGGAGAATAGTATCACCAAAAAATGTCAAAGAACATTAAATGAACTGATTATTTGGCTTTATGCATGAGTATTTATGCCTATAATAAAAATTTTAAAAAACGGCCTCAGAAAATATGTAGAATGTGGAACAATGAATGCAAGAAAATGTATTTGTGGTCTTAGCAAAATTCAACAAAAATAATTTAAAAATTTCACCCACATTTTTACTAACTTTCATACATGTTTCCACCAACTATATTAGTATTTCTGTATTAAATATAAGATGGCCTCTTAGAATGTTAAACAGTATTGAAATAAACTTTTTTGTTTAAAGGAAATTGGTATGTTAACTTCACATGCTAATGGGCATTTATACCAGCTCACCATGAAGACATAGGTTAGATTCAAGCATGGTTGTAGACAAATGTGGTTGCATTATTCCTGTACTTATATGACAGCTGGGGTTAGTTTCCTCATTTCTAATTCACAATGATAATCTCAAATTACTTTAGAAATTAGCCAAGGAAAATAAGAAAAATATTAAGCTAAAAAATGACAGATAATAAGTAAGACATTCAAACCAGGAATAGGAAAAGATCCCATAAACAAAATCAACAGACATGAAATAATAAATATAGAAGAAATATTTATAAGGCAAATAGCAATAGTTATCATCTATTATATACGAGAAGCCCTTAAAATTTGGATGGAAAAAAATACAAAGGTCAAACTAAAAATAAAAAACAAAAATGTCATACAAGGAGATGCATAAACATATCAAAAAGGACAAATCTAAAATTTTCAAATTCATTTATAGTCAGGAAAAAGTTGATTTAAGTAAAAACAGAATATTACTTTATATTCATCAGGCTAGTAAAATTTGTAGAAAGTGATGAAGTCTATTCCTATTAGGGATATGGTCAAAGATTTCTTTTTACATTACTGGTAAATATTAAATGTGAAGTGTTACAGCTTTTTTGATAAATAATCTAGCAATAAACAAAATTTATGTAAATCTTATGTAGCCATCACAATGAATGGATTAAATCTAAATCAGATCAGAAGTTATTTCCACAATGTATTAACAAGTGAGAAAACCAAGGTGTATAAAAATGTGGAAAAATATTATGTTTTAAAACAATTTTAATCTAAACATGTAAATCTGTATGTATATTAATATCAATCTGGAGAAAGAAATGAAAGCTATAATATGGGAGAAGTGGACAGAAATCAGTCTTAGTAAAAAAAGAGTTAAAAAAGGATGTACTAGAGATTAGCAACCGATGATCATATTTATATTTTCATTAAATTATTATATTTATAATCATAATGGAAATTTTTTAAGATTCCATAACATGGCAGATATAAGTTTTGTTACTTATTAAGTTGTTAGTATTCATGTCAATTTCACTTCTAGACAATAGGAAAGGGGTGGTTAATTTGAGGTCAATGGATCTCCTGAAGCAGACTAAGAAATGGGATTGAAGAGARCGTTAGAACCCTCTCTATATGCAAAATAATGTTGGTTTATGTGTTTTTTTGTTACAAGTGTCCATAATTGTCATTAGAATACTAAAAGGAAAAATGATGCAAAACAAGTTGAAAACAAAAATACTAGGAGACTTAGAAAAAGATATATGGAGTGTTAGAAAACACAACGATAAACGCTGAAAAAAAAACAACAATAAAATAATAGGATGAACGACAATTTGGTACTACAGGGAAGATTTTTTTCAATTTTTTTTCTTTTTTTCTTTTTTTTTTTTTTTTTTTTTTTTTTTTTTTTTTTTTTTTTTTTTTTTGCAGTCTCTGGTGATAGAACTCTATGGTACTCTGCTTCTGAGCTACACCCCCAACTCTTTATTTTCAGACAGAGTCTTGATATGTTGCTGAGGCTGTCTATGAACTTGAGATCCTTCTGTCTCAGACTCCCAAGTTGTTGGAATTGCAGACCTATGCAACAGTGCTTGGCTACAGAGCAGTTTTTTTTGTGCTGAAAGCAGTAAGGATTGATTTAATTTCTAAGTCAAATGGGTGAACAATCATCAGCTTTAAAATAAAAATAACAATCAGAGGTCTTAAACTTTCTATGATCTTGAATTGACAAATTTACTTTCAGTAGTTTATTCTAAAGAAACAACCTGAAATAGAAACAAAGTTTAAGCACAAAGATGTTTTCTGGATAAATATTTGTAATAATAAAATTCACACAAAGGACTACATGTGACAATTTAATATGGAAAAATGTGGTGTGTTCTCAGTTAAAATGTGCATGTGTATGCATGTGTGTATGTGTCCTTTATATATAAATATATAAGAGAATGACAACAACTGTTAATATAATGAATATGTAATATGTGAATGTATGTATGCACTGTCAGAAAATATACAGATGTTATAGTTAACTATGTTACAGTAGGAGTAAAAATCTTTATATGTCATAGGAATTTTAAATGTCTAATAATAACAATTACATAGTTTCATAAGCATAAAGACAGTAAGTGTGACTATGATATTATGACATATATTTTTTGATTTTTACCCACTCTTCCTGGCATAGCCCTTGTTATTTCCTAAATGCTAGAACCACATGGTTAAAGTATTTGTCCTTTTATCCTTGCTCCCTGAAGCAGCTGTGAAAAAGCTTCACAGCAATAAAGGTGAAAGAGTCTTTTGTTTCAATGCCAGGACGCATCAGGCCTCAGAAGGCACAATCTCTTTCTTGACCTTCCCTTGCCCACCTTTCACGGGCTCCTTCTTTTCCCCATGGCAGAATGTAGAAAGTGGAATTTTCTTTCCTAATGTTAGTCACAGAAACTAAAATCATTCTCTAATCTTCCCCTGCCTCTATGTCTTGGAGATGGCCATTAGGAAATTCTCTAATTCACCTTGTCTGAGAGATCATAAGACCCTAACTTCAGAAGGGGTCTGCACCATCCCTGGGATAAAGGGGTGCTGCTCAGAGAGGCCAAGCAGAATTTGAACACACAGGTCTTGTTGGGTTTCCTCATTCAGTTCATATCCATTTTGTCCAATCAAAACTGTCCATCTTCAATCATGCGTATGTAATGAATTCTCCATAAGAGACCAAAAGAATAGGGCTCAAGGCATTACTGATATAAGAACACATGGAAGCTTACAGGAAGGTGAAATGTACTCATCCTGTACAAAGGGTGGTGCACTCCTACTCCTCAGAGTCAGAGTCCTGCTCACTGGAACCTCCAAGACTCCTATATATCTCTTTATCTGGCTGGTTAGTTACATGCTTTAAAATATCCTCTATAGTCAACCAGTGACTATATGTTTAATGTTTCCCCAAGTTCTATGAGCTGCTCTAGCTATTAAATCTGACCCAAGCAGAGGGTTGTGGGAACCCCAAATTAACAGCAATTGACATATGAAGTGGGGAGCAGCCTGGTGGGACTAAACCTTCAACCAGTGACATCTGACTCCAGGTGGAGTCTGTATCCTCTGGTATCCTTTGCAGCACTGTTACAGTTTGTATGTGAGGTATCCTCATAAAACTCATATGTGAGACAATGTGAGAGGATTCAGAGGGGAAATGATTAGGTTTTGAGAGCCTCAATCTAATCAGCAAATTAATCCCTGACAGTATTGACCAAGTGGTAACTGGAGGCATGTGGGGTATGGCTGGAGGAGGTGGGCACTGGGGTGACTTTGGATATATATTTCTGTCTGATGAGTGGAGTCTTTTTCTCTGCTTCCTATTCATCATGTAAGCTACTTCTCTCTGCCACACTCTTCATCCATGATGTCCTGCCTCACCTTACACCCCAAGGAATGGAGCCAGCCTCTCATRGACTGATACCTCTGAAACCATAAGCCCCTAAATAAACCTTTCCTCATCTACATTTGTTCTGCCCAGGTTTTTTAGTCACAGCAGTAAAAAAGTTGATTAAAACAAGCACTGACTGCCTACTTGGTGCTGGGGAGAAGCCCCAAATATCATAGGATCATAGAAGTAATCTATATTGTTTATGTATAGTAAGAGAAACTGCTTTTTTTCTATATCCTCATTAACTAAAGGAAGAAAAAAGTAGTATATATATCATTACTTACATTTCTATTTATTTTTTTAAAATGCAATATAATTCTGCTTTTCAAAATATTGTTATGGAACCTATTGGCCTCTTATCTTAGTGCCTGCTAGTGAAGCCTAATTTCATCTAAATAGTGCTCTTCTTATTAAATGTTCAATTTTTCTTAATTGAATTATGAGGCAGTATCCCTAAATGTGTGAATTCCTACATGATTATTTAAACTAAAATATCATGTTCTTATTCAAATACATTGAAATTTTTTTAAAGTCACTTTTTTATTATTTATTATTATTTATTTGCAGTATTTAATACCAGAGCAGACTTTTGAAACAGGCCAAAAAAATCTGGGTACTTTTTTAAACAGTTTACAAAAAGAAAAATATCTTCCTTGTACAAAAGGGCTATTAAAATGGGAAAAWGATAAACAATAATTTCCCACCCATAYATAATTCTTTATAATTTAATTAGSCTTGTTATGTTTTATTCACATACATATTTTTCCCAAAGATATAGTTTGTTTTTAAGCCCTCAGATTATCAACTTTTGATATTAAGCAATGAGGATAAATGGATCCATAGGAGTTCTTTTTTTTTTTTTCCCTGTAATTAGGGAGCAATACCATTTTAACATGCTATTCCCCTTTACTCTCTATCCCTCCAAAACTTTCTCCTCCCAAGTACTACAACAGTCATTTGCCACAACATTAACTACTTGTTTCTACAAGGAAAATCAACCAATTCCACTGTCACAACCAAGCAGATTACTGCCACACTGACACACCTTGGGCCTGAAGATATAAATGACTATGAAATACATGACTAATATATACATTCCCTTCTAATGACAGGGATAGCAATCTATGCTCTTTTTATTTTAGTTATTTATTTTAAGATACTTATTTTACACTGAAGCGTTATAGTTATACATAATAATGAGATCAAGTTATATGCATGTACAAAYATGGCATAAGGAATCCTGGCTCCTTTTAAACAAATATTAATGTGTAAAAAACAGATGACCCAATCTGATTTCTTTATTTTGGGAATGGGAGGCTAAAAGTTTCTTTTGAAAGTACTGTACTGGGAAACACAGAGAACATTTTCACATATACCAACACATGACAGAGAAATCAAAGAGCTATATGTATCTGTACTTTAAACACAATAAATATATGATCTACTAAAATAATGAGAATCATATTTCCCAAAATGCAAGGGAGTGGAAACGGTATATTTATTACATCTACTGAATCAACTATGTTAATACCTTGCTTGGATCTATTTGGAATCAAATGTTGAAAAGTAAATTATTTTTAAGACTCTTTTTTTCTTTGTCAGAAATTGTTCAGTTTATTGTACCCTCAGAAAGAAATCTCCAAATGTCAAATAATTCTGTATACACAGAATTGCCAGTATTGGGCATTTTCAGCAGAATCAGACATGATAGAGAAGGGTCAATATAGCACAGACAAACAAAAAGTAAATCAGCCTGTGTCACATTTAACAAATATTATCTCAATACTAAAGGTCCTGCTTAACAAGATAAAAAATGAAGTAAAATATTTTWAATACAAATTTGTACTTACTGTGATATTTAAATATATTGTTCGCTTTTGAACATCATAACTGACATATGCTGATTTTACGCCAATGTATTTCACGTCGATAGAGCGAGGGAAAAGGAAAAACACAGCCAATCCAGAAAGGAGCAGACAGACAAACACAGATGCCATCACATACAGCTTTCTGAAAAGCAAAGGGGAATATTTAAATGTATGAGAATCAAAAATTATATAACATAATGTTTGGAAAGAGATTTTCAACTTGAATTTTTCTTCCATATATCACACTGGGCAAGAAAACATGTATACTTTTACCATATTCTCATACCCTAAAACTATTGGGGTGAATTGCTCTGAGTCTAAAATGTTCTCCTTAGAAGATGAATTTACCCTTTTGGAGAATGGTATTTCAGGCTTACAATAGACCATTTAYTAAAGTGATTCCCTAACATGCTTCATATTAGAATCAAGCTTAGGAGMTTTATAGAAATAGAGATTTCAAGATTTCCTTCTCACTACACTGAAGCAGAGTTTTCACATAGGAGTTTCACAATCTTARGATCCCCTAAAGTCACAGCTCATCAGATCGGCCTATGAAGTTCTTAAAAATAAATATATAACGATTTGTCCCATTAATCTCACCGAATATGATCAGTCTTCTGAGTTTCCTCATGCCAAAATATTTATAAACTCAGTTTAAAAAATATTGCTTACACTAGTCTAATTGGCTTTGAAGATGTTGTTACACTGTTTTTTGAAATGAATTAAAAAGATAATATTAAGCAGTATAAGACAAGGGCAAGGGAAAAAACAGCCCCCACCCCCCCGCAAAAAAAAAAAAAAGGCTAAAACACCTGCCTTTGCTATCCTCCTAATGCCCTAGAAATGTCTCTTCTTATTTTCTTTCCAATCTCCACACAAGAAATTTTCCTTTTTTTCTTCAAGGTTATCCTCTTAACTTAGAGATCCAAATTTCCTGATTTTTTCAATATAGAGTCCTCTGCTAAAAGTCCCTTGTTATTCATCTTAAGTCACTTATTTCATCTTCTTTATATTCTAGTCATAACAAAAAAATTCATTTTATCTTTTCTTCCAGTTTCTCCTCCCCCAAAATGTTCTATGCCTTGATGAAGTTAATATTTGTGTACCTCAAAAGAGCCTCCTGAGGATGTATTCTTTTTTATTTCAGTATTTTAAGTTGCTTACAGAAAAAAAAAGCGCAAAATGGTTTATTAAAAAAAAAACCAAGTAAATAAAAATTTGCCACTTACTGTTAAATCCATGCTAATATACTGAGCAAACAAACCAATTATCACTCGTTTGTTTTGGACTTTCTCAGTCTGAGTAGGGCAGTGATCACTATTRGATTACTAATAAGTACTTTGAATACATGTTTATAGTACCTATAATACACTCAAATACCTAAAAGAAATATAAAAAGAGTTTAAAATCAACATGATAAAAAAATCTGAAACTCAATGGATTTTCTATACAATACTGTTTTATTTTTAATTACTTGTGTGCAGATGAGTCCACCAGAATCAATTTAGTGCTTAGGGCCTATAAGTAAGCCGTAGTTGTGAATATATGAACCAGTGTTCTAAATTACTTTGCATATTCAGTTTAAACCATAGCAAATATTGAAGCTTATGGGACAATAAAATAACATTTCATGCAATATTTMATTCCAAATTGAGAATGTGGCTATTTCATGACAATGTATATAGATCTTTATTATAAAATTAATCAGTACTGTTTTTCCTTATGATCCTAGAGAAAGCAAGAAAATCCTGGTAGTTACATAGTGTTAATGAAGTTGTGTGGTATATGTGGCATCAAGTTAGAATTTAATTACCTCCATTCCCTACCTGCACTATTTAAAGTAATTTACTCTTTTACTTTAAAATCTATAGGTTTTGAGGATTAAATAATATAGCTAAAGTATATAGCCAGAATAATAAATAAATAATTTCATAACTGCCTCAAACATAACTTCAACTCATATGCAAATAAAGACCCAAAGTTGTTTCTAAAATAATATTATTTTAATACAAGTTGAAACAACTTTCTGGCCTTTCTGGTGTGAGCTCTGCAGATTATTTTCTCTGCTTCTACAGAGTGGTCTTCCCCAGGTTCAGGGACTTTGTGACATACTACACTGATGAAAACTGAGCAGCAAGTTAAGAGCAGTCTCTGCAGCTTTCCACCCTCTGCTGCTCTGCCCTGATTGCTCCAGTGATCTTGCTTCCAGGACTCACATAGCACCAGCTTCTTGCACCAGGAAGACTGCTACACTCTGTCTGGGTTCCTTTTCTTGTGCTGCAGTCTGGAACCTCTTTCCAGACAATTAGTACAATTATAGGGCTTAGCACATTTGTTTTCTTTTTTCTAGGGATGACTGTCCTGTGCTGTCTGATGTCAAGTGTAAAAGTATTATTTCATGTATTTATCCAGTTTCTTAGTTATTTCAGGTAGGAGGATAAATCTAGTCTGTTATTCCATCTTCTTCAGAARTGGAAAGCCAATTTATTTGATTGTATCTTTTTGCTTTTATGCTGAAAATCTTGTTCCTTAATGGCATTTACATWCTTACTTATTTGCTTTATGTATAGTAATTTCAAAATTATATCAATAGTACTCCTAACAATGCAACTATTGAATACATTTTAACATTTGTTGTGGTTCCCTTAGATATTTATAATGTATCATTAAAAAGTAACATTCAAAATACAATAATTTCACTGTGCCTTGCCCGGCTGCCTATAAACCCAGTGGCTCAGAAGGCTGAGGCAGGAGGATYACCAGTTCAAAGACAGCCTCAGCAATGGTGAGGCGCTAAGCAACTCAGTGGGACCCTGTCTCTAAATAAAATACAAAATAGGGCTGGGGATGTGGCCCAGTGGTTCAGTGCCCCTGAATTCAATCCTGGGTACTCCCTGCTCCCAAGAAATACAATGATTTCAAGTTATGTGTTTTAACTTTAATGTACAATATGTAGATACACATACATACCATATATATGCAAATAATAGATAAACTATAAATATGTATGCATACATGTAATATACATATGTACATAATTCCAAAGGTCAAACAACACACACACACACACACACACACACACACACACACACACACACAGATTTTACTTGCTTACCTGCTCATTCTTCAAAGTGAATAGGTAAACCAATTTTATCATTTTTCATTTATCAATGCATATGTTGTTTGTTTTTTTTTTCCAAGAAAACAGTTTATTAAAGACAATGTTCAGCTGGGTTGTAGCTCCTGCCTGCAATGCCAACTACTTGGCCCAGGTCAGAGGATGTCCAGTCCAGTGCAGGGAGCCACCTTCCCAAGCAGATCTCAACAATGGCTAAGCCTCTGGCAGTTCCCCATACCCCCAGTCTCCCCTGGGGGCCCTTTGGAAAGGGGGAATCAAAGGCACAGGGAACCCAGACAACACTGAAAAGTCTGTAAATCTCTGAATTCCCTCTGTAGTCGAGGGAGGGTTAGGTTTGGACATTTCCCCAATTGGACATGAATGTCAAACCCACTGGCCACTAGAAATTAGGCATATTGAAAATAGGCTAGAGTTAGGGGTACCCAGTAATAATGCTTCTAGGGGAAACYACATTCCCATTTCACTCCTGCATGTCCTCTTTAGTGGGCTTCCTAGTAGCTTAATAGGGTCCATGAGACCAGGGTTCTCTACCCCCACTGGCAACTCAATATGCTAGTCTTATCTTCATGTGAACAATTAGCTGAGGCCAGGGTGGGCAGTGCTCAAGCCTGTAATCCCCAGAGGACTGCAGCAATAGTAGGTGAGCCTGGACAATTTAGCCAGACTGTCTCCAAGGGCTGGGATGTGGCTCAGTGATTAAGACCACTGGATTTAATTGCAGGAACCAAAGAAGGAAGAATTAGCTTACTCTGGGGRCATGAAGACTTACTGAGGGCTGGACATTGGTGCAGAAGTCGCAGACATCCAGAAGTGTGGCTGTGCAAATCAAAAGGCACACTGGCTCCCTGAGGCCTCCTCAGACAGCAAATGTATATGTGTTTTCAAATAAAAATTTGTTCTGGATTTTACACAGTTCTCCCTTTTTTTCCATTCTAATACTGTGTAAAYGTAGCATAATTTACTAGTTCTCTATTATTGGCTACTTTTGTTRTTTCTATTACACATTGGCATATTGAATAATTTGTGCAAATGCCATATACTATATTTGACAACTATCTATAGAATAAATTTTTCCAGGAGCCCAAGAGTAAATGCATAAGTAATTTTGCTAGATAATGCCAAATTCCCATTCACTAGAAGGGATGAGTATATGTGTTTTCCCTTAGTGTTGCCAACAAAATATGTTGACTAAATTTTGTACTTTTGCCAATCTGATACAAATAGTGTCTCAGTGTAGTTTTAATTTGCATTTCTTTTATGAATAAGATTGAACATTTTTTTTTAATTTAAAGGTCATCTGCATTTCTTTTTTTGTGAAATAGCTGTTCATAGCTTCTGCTCTTTTTTCTTTTGGTAATTGGCCCTTTTCTTCTCAAATTTTAAAACTCTGTGGATGATTTGCAGACATTACTTCCTAGTTTGCCATTTGTGTTTTAATTTTAATTAACATTTTGTTTTCAACTTGTAAAAGTTTATCTACACTGTTTAAAATTTATTTATCTTTCTTTCATCACTTCTGGACTCTAAATCATAGTTGGAAAAATATTCCCACTCTCAGGTTATAAATGCTTTAACCCAAATTGTTTACATCCTCATATGTCACATACATTTTATAATAAAGGGTCAGATTGACTGTTGGTAAAATTCTTGGTTCATTTTATTTCCATAATTACTAAATGTGCTATGCTTCAGCTTATTTATTCAATACACTGTCATCAAGAAGTAATGTGTCAATTTTGTTGTACCCTTAATGAATTAATTGATCATTCTGCCTGAATGTTAAAAGAGATTTTTGCCCTTTTTTTATCTTTAAAATCTGAAAACTTTATTAGTTTGAATTATTTTCAGGATGGTGGCATGTCTTTTTAATATGTAGGGTCATGTCTTCTTTTGCTTTGGAATGTTTTCCTGAATTAAACCTTTAGTTATTTGTTCAGTTGTATTTCTTTGATTTTCTTCTTTGTAGGAGCTCTAATGACATGCATGTTCAATATTCTTTATATTCTATGGAATTTTTTTCTCAAATCTTTCTCATTAATTTGTCTATATGCTTTCATTTACCCCTGTTTATTCTCAATTTCCCTTACTTCACTATTTAGAATATCTTTTTGCACTTTTGTTCTTCTAGTTTTTTTTGGGGGGGAAACATATTTTTCTAATTATTTTAAAGGGTCTATATGGTTCACATTCTCCTAYTGTTTAGTTATCACATTTGTGAGCTTTTTAATTTCTGACTTAGACAGTTYTGTCATTTAGCTGCTATATTTTCCTTAATTTTTATAGTACATTTTATATTAAGTTCTCATCTTTTCCACAAGCTTTTACTACCTGTTAGCAATTTGGGGGGTTCCATCCCTGTTGTTCAAATTTAAATAAGAAAATTTTTTTAGTTGTAAAACAATGTTTCATGTAGGGAGATGGAGATAGGACAGGGTTCTAGGTTCACTGCTCAAGGGCTCATCTCCATTAAACAGATGGCTTCCATGCATATTCACCTCCATAGATCTATGATTCACTTCCTAGTATTTGAAACCTTTCTCTTATTCTTAGTTCCTGCCCAGCATGAAGTGGATCCCAACCCAACATGTGTGTGTGTGTGTGTGTGTGTGTGTGTGTGTGTGTATGTTTTTTTCCTCCCTTTTCCTTAGAATGTATGTCTTTCCTTTCATAAGAGTTTCTGTTGAGGTCGTCTAAGGTTTTGGAGGACTGAGGATGGTCTAGTACCTTATGATTTTCTCAAGACCTCTATGGCATTTTTGAACTCTCTCCAAATTAGAGCATGTACAGTGTTCTCATTTTAACAAGTTATTTTTGAAAGTATTCTGAGTTGGGTTCTTTTCTTTGGGGGCAAGTATCAAGTATTTACTCTGTACATCAGGATTCTTAGGAACTCCCTTTCACTTCCTATTACCACTGCCACATAGCTACTAAGCATGTTTGGTTCCTTGTCATCACCATAGTTTGAATACCCATTTTTATTTGTAGTTGATAGGAACACCTTATTACCCATTTTTGGATAAAAAGGATGTGTATGTGTTTCCTACTATTATTCTAAATCTGATTTAATAAGAGACTTGAGAATATGGAGATACCATGCTGCTTTTCAGACCTTGCCCAGATAGGAATCCTTTTGTATTCAATGACATGAAGCATATGATGGAATAACTTTACAAGTCATAACATCTTTCCTCTTAGTAGTCTTAGAGTAATTACTTATACATAATTTGAAAATAAAAAGATAAAAAAAAAACAGAAAGCATTGACATTTTCTCATAAGCACTTACGTTCTTCTTGGCCTTAATCTCTGATCACTATATGGAATCAATGCCACCAACTGGTTTTCTTGCCCTTAAAGTAAAAGCAGATTTAGAGATTTATTAACATGATTAMATAAAAATAGTGATACTCCATTATAATCTGATTTGGAAAGACCAGAATACCATTTGGCTCCCATCTCATTTCTTAGTCAACAGTTGTCCAAATTTTCAAAAAAGTATACAGCGAAAGTGTACCATACTTTTTCACATTAGATATTTAGCTAATAAAAATATATAATAATGAAGGCTCTGTTACTCTTTTATCCACTGAAAAAAATCTAAAAAGTCCTAGCTTTCAAATGATCAGAATTTACCAGGCCTTCCCTCAACTCCACTGTTTCCCATTAAGACTCTGATTTGGTGACATAGTATAGTGATAAAGCCACATCAGTGTTTATGGTAGTGTAATTCACAATAGCCAAGTTATGAAACCAGCCTAGGAGCCCTCCAATAGATGAATGGATTAAGAAAATGTGATTATATATATATATATATATATATATATATAGTTTCATTCTTCTGTATGGCTAAGAAAATCTCTACTGTATATGTATGTGTGTGTATATATATGTAGGTGTGTGTGTATACAGTAGAGATTTTCTTAGCCATACAGAAGAATGAAATTATGGCATTTATCAATGGATGGAAATGGAGAACATCAGACTAAGTGAAATAAGCCAGACTCAAAAGTCAAGGGTTGAATGTTATCTCTCTCACATGCAGAAACTAGAACAAAGCAAGGGGGAAAAATAGGAGAGATCAGATACAGATACCATAAGTATAGAAGGAAAACCAGTGGAAGACAGAGACTGCAGAGAAAGGAGGAGAGTTGAGAAAAAGAAAAAGTGGAATGAATTTGACAAAATTATACTATGTGCAAGTATAAATATGCCACAGCAAATGCCACCTTTATGTATATTTATAAAGCAACAATTAAACATAAATACATAACTWAATAGAAGCAAGACCAGTAGAGTACAGGAAGAGTAAAGGGAAGAGGAAGCAACAGGGACTAAAATGGAACAAATTAAATTTCATACATGTATATTTATGTCAAAATGAACCCAATGATTGAAAATCATATATTAGGGAAATAGAGTCACAGGCTTGAGAATAAAAAGAAAAGAAATGAGAGAAATATAGTATGATTCTTAGTATCATTAAGGACCACTTGAGATTAGTAATGAGACCAGTGACCTCTTAAAGCTTGAGACTTAGAATATATCCATTTTTATTTTCAAGTGGAATAGTACAAGAACCTCTAAAGCAAAAGAGTTTCAGGAAAGAGAGACAGCAACATGTTTTTCTGCTGTCATTCAGATAACCAAATCAGAGACTTTGTGTGTGGTGTGTGTGTGTGTGTGTGTGTGTGTGTATACTTTTATTAATTAATACTGTATTTCCCTAATTCACACCCTCAATACAACTTTTTAAAAGCACAATTTCATAATTTCAACTTTAGTCAAATCTTTAATATTTTCTCTCTCATCGTTATTCTTGATTCATGATATGTAAATAGAACAGAACTTTCACAAGCCTCTATTACCATATTGATAAGAATTCTGAGATGCCCTAAATTAAGTCACAGGCCAGAGAATGAAGAGAAAAGAAATAAGAGAAGTTCACATTAATTCACAGAATCAAGCTAAATCAACAATAAAAACCTTTCTACATTCCTTTCCTTATGGTGAAGATTATCTATCAAGGCCACATTTTATTCTGCTTTAGGAACTATCCAACCACAAAGTAGTAAAAAATTCTCTTTTTAGATTATCATCCTATCCCAGGATTTTGCCTGCTTTATGTTGTCCTGACCTCAAATCTACAGCTAATATAGATTCAACATAAATAATTTTATGTCTCTTCTCCCAAAATTTTATTATAAAACACCTTGGCCCTATGGTCCAGTATACTTTTTTTTTTTTTTTTTTTTTTGACTGCTATATATCCATGCTGCTGGTGGCTTGGGGAATTTGTCCCAGAACAGGTCCTTTTACCTTTGGGAGAATCTATAACTGTTCAATAAATCCTTTATTTCAGAGACCTCTCGCCTTAAAATTTTGATTTAGCAATATCTACTCCACTACTTGTTTCTAAGTCCAAACACAACTTTCTCTTTTATTACTAAGAATAAGCTTCCTATATTCTCCTATAAAAACAGCCTCTACACTTGTGCACTAGATTCTCATCACTTTTATTTACTTAGGCACACTGTTCCAATACTTCTCTCATCTCTTGCATTGCCAGTATTTTCTCTATGGGTCACTTTCATCTGCATACAAACATCCACTATTCATCTATCTTTAAAAAACAATTCAACTCCTAACTTCATAACCCTCTCCAGCTATTACTTCTCTATTCTGCTTTTCTATAGAGCGAAACTTGTCAAAAATAAACAAACAAATTTTCTCTCCACATAACTTTTCCTACATGCTCTTGATTGCACTCTACACATATTACATATGCTTTTACAAACTGCTCTTTTAAAGCTCTCCAGGGGCCTCCATACCAGTAATCCAATGGTCAGTTCTCAGTCCTCATATAACTTGATGACTTGATAACATTAACAGTTGACCACTCTTTCCTCCTTGGTCCACTTTGTTCACTTATCTTTCAGGACACCACAGACACAGGAACTTCCTCCTCCCACTATAGATGCTCTTTCCTGGTGTACCTTGACAAATTCTTTCTCATGTCACTGATCTCAAAATGCTGCAATGTCCCAGGTTTCATTGCTAGGATCCTTTCTTTTTTCTATCCACACTGATGAAGGCTTGTTCTTGCACTTGAATTCTAGATCCTTGTAAAAACTGCTTATTAAAAGTAATTACTTTGATGTCAAATAGGCATCTGCAAGCACATATGTCCAAAACTGATCTCCTAAWCCATGTTCTGACAAATATACACAACTCTTTTTTCTCTGCTATAATAAACTGCTACTCCATTCTCTCTGTTGCTCAGATGAAAAAATTTAGAGCCATGCTTGATGACTTTCCAAACTACAKCCGAGCTGCCAAAATTGGTCACATCTCAGAAACATAACTAGATTGCTCAAACAGCATCCCCCCATCTCTTGTGCATTAATTTCTTCACATACAAATTCTTTTATTCTCAACTAGCTATTATTCCCAAAAAGATAAAACCATTGTATTCACTGGCCAATGCAAATGTAAACTATTTCACCTCTAACTCAAGACATTTCTCAGACACTATGGTATAACTTCTACTGTTAATCTGTCTTTCTTTCAGTGTCTCTCCAGGGTCATATGTCTACTTACCACACAGAGAACAAAAACAGCCCAAGGTGCCTTTATTATTTTTACTTATTCCACAGCAACTAAAATAGTCTACAATGAGCACATTTCCCTCTGACTTTGCCTATGGTACACCACAAACTGAATTTTTTCCTCTACTTCGCTCAACTTCATATACCTTGAAATTCCCTTTAGGAAATAGCTAACTAGGACATGGGCAACTTACTACTATTCTTTAGTAGTAAGTAATGAAATTACAAATGTTGGATCACCAAATTACTTAAATTGTTTCCAATAAGCGATGTTGCAAGGCAATTACAATATGATCTCTAAAGATGGCAAACAGCACTATAAACTTTTCAGTGAAATGACAATGCATATTGCTATAATAGAAAGCAGGAAAGAAAAACTACTGGACAAGTGAAATCATTTTCAAGAGTGTTTTAGGAACCTTCATATATATATATTTTTTTCACTGTGTCCTTTTGACTGGATAACTGATAAGCAGTTTTAACTTTAATTTTGAAGCTTTTAAAATTGAGTTGCTTAGACCCAGAGGTTCTATAATATTCAAGCAAATGCCTAAAATCATTCTTTAAAGGAAAAATAATATAACAACACATACCCCTAGGAATTCTTCCTGTTCCTTGACAAGTGGGACAAGTGACACTATCTCTTCCTGTAAATTCCACATATGGAAACTGAGAGACATCTCCATTTCTTCCATCTTCATTATGGACTTCATTATTAACCAGTCCATTTCTCATGTTTTCAGTTGATGTGATTCCATCATAAGAATCTTCTTTACTTGTATGCAAAGGCAAATGAGAAAGAGACTTTCCCATGTCTAATGAAAAAGAAAAATCTTACAGTAAACCTCAGGGGGAAAAAAGTACACTTAAACTCTATGAGATATTTATGCTAATCTAATTACTTCAAAAGAAACTTGAAGAGAAAGTTCAAACTCTTTTCATATTAGAATTAAACCCAATCAAAATAATGTCTGAAACAAGGAAAACATTTACTAGAGTCCAAAAGAGTTCTTCATGCTACTGGGAACGTAGGATCTTGGGCAAGCTAGGCAAGCACTCTACTACTTAGCCATATTCCCCAGCCCTCAGAAATGTAGAAAAAAAAGTCTACACCTTCTTAAATAAAGTAAAGACACATCCTACCTTTTCTTAGAATAAAGCAAAGACACATTCTACCTTCAAACCAGTTGGCACTAAAGGCCAAAGCTGCTTTAGAGAAATGAAACTAGTTATTATAGGTATCACTAGGTAATTTCAAAGTAGTACTTTTTACTCATTTAAAATTCACACTACTGAGAAATCTTYGCTTCCATTGTTAGATTTCTTATTGAGAATACTCAAAAAAACTAAAAAATTCCAAATCATAGATATTCTTCTTTTGTTCAACACTTGGCAGTTAATATTATAAATTTAAAATTCTAAAATACTAAATATAATTTACCAATACAAGGAGCAAAATTGAGAACATTAACTTCAAAATTTTAGGATAACAGTATCAAAATAACATGGAAAAAATAAAATATGAATTCAAAAGCCAAATAAAAATAAATAATTATTAGGACCTCTCCAAAAAACGTCTGCAGTAACATTGCAGTTAAGCTTATACAATTTCAAGGCTAAAAAGAATTTTGAAAGTCACCTAATACAACCTGATGATATTTTGAGAAAAAAAATAAAAGGGGAAAGTAAACTAAAAAAATAACACAATTCCACTCTGACTAAATTTGACCAAGTACAGATTATTATAGACATTCATACATATATTTCTTTTAAAAATTCTCATTTATTTGAATAAGGAAAACTGACACTATTTCAAATTACCCCACAGTATGAAAAAAAAAATTGCTTTCTAAAATTGGTATACCACATATTTGTTGAAATTACTCATAATGCAAGGAGCAGGATGAAGAAATCATACAAGTTGAATACAAGCTTAAAATTGTASAAAATGGAATAAAAATTTTTTTTCATTATTAAAAAATATGTACACACTGTCCACATAAATTCCAAAACATAAATGACTCATGCTTCCTTAAAAACAACAAAAAAAGTATTAATCTGGCTCACTGACATTAAGTGAGGGCCAAACCGCACTTGCCAGCCACAGGTGGTTCAGGGGTGAATGCTAATCATCACTGTCCTCACCTACTGTGACCTTGGAGTCTTGGAACTACCAGAACTGGGATCAGTCTCAAAAACAAGCTTTCAGGTGCACCCTTTCTGGGTTGTCAACACACCACGGGTGGAAGGTGCACCCTATTGGAAAGCCTTAGGGGAAATGACTCAGAGGACAAGCCAAGTGGCTTTTGGTCCTGGCCTGTTTTCTATTCTAATGTAACCACCACCTTGACTGATTCTGCTTTAGGCAGGTGTTTGGACAATCGCCCAGACTTTGCCAGGTATTAAGAATCCCTGCCTTGCCTACTACGTTTTCTTCACAACATTGACAAATTTAACCACTTTATTCTTGGAGACCTATTGGCTTCATAAGGAATGCCAGACCCCTTTCTCCCTTCCTCCTGCTCAATATTTTTATCGCAGTCTCTTGCTGAAAAAAACCAACATGGTTCTCAGGTTCTGTTTCGAGAGAGGGGGAAAAGATGAATACAACACTCCAATTTAAATAGATCGTGATCTTTCTGTGCATAAACTGGTTATAGTTCCAAAAGGGCACGAAAACGAAGAAAATCAGCACCTTTCAAAAAGCTCCATACACAAAACCCAGGACATAGGCTACTCTGTAAAGGTTAAACGTAAGATCCAGGCAAGTGTGCAAGAAAAGAAAACCGTTTCAAGAACAGAAAAACCAAGGGCCACCTGGCCTTTCGAGGTGTGGGGGCCTGGACTCAAATCTCAAGCGCCAGGAGTGGACAAAGCCGGGAGCTCCCTGGCAGGAGGCTGGGTGCGGGTAAAAGGAGGTGACAACACCTTCATCACTAGCCCAGCGCGGCGCCGCGACATCCGGCGGGCCCTGCTTCCCCGCAGCCTCCCCTCCTCCACCTCCTTGACAGGCCCGGATCTTGGCGAGGCACGCAGCTGGGCCCCGCAAAGGAAGGGGGCCTGGGCGCTGCACGTCCGGGGTCGCTCACCGGCACGCGGGGCGCTGCGCAGTTCCGGGCTGCTCCGGGCCGGATAGGCCCGAGGACAGGGTCACGGAGTCCGCAGTCCCAGTTGCTAGAGGGGTGGGAGCGAACGGCCTAGAGCGTCCGGCAGCCGCCGAGATGGGCGGGGGAGGGGCGGGACAGCGAAGGCCTCGGCTGAGCCGGGAGCTGCGGCAACCTGCTCCTGCGCCTGCGCAGAGCGCGCCCGGAGGGGCGGGGGTGCTCCGGGTACGCGCTTGACCGTGGCGTCCTTTCCCAGCCGACCTGGAGCCCGGAAGCGCGCTGCCGCGAGTGTGGGCTTGCAGACTTCGGTGCCGCTGGGAACCTAGACTTAATGAAGTTTGTCCGCGCTGTTTTTGTGTGACTTAAGAATAAGTCGCTCTTCGTTTACCCGCTCTCAGACCATTTCCTTTTGCAGGGGGGAAAAAATATCCACCGTTTGACTCAGTTTTCAGCTGAGCAGCCTCCTTTCCCAGGCTCTGGCAGTGGTCTCTAAGACTAGGAAAAACTGGTTAGAAGTTTTAACATACACCTCTGGCAGCTAAGAAGTTCCATATATTGAAACTTCAAGCAAAAAACAGTTCCTTGGTTTTTGCTTGGTCTTGGTTTTGCTTAAGCTGCCTTCCCTTAAACCGCCTTAACTAGGTGGTGAGTTACCCCARTGTGAGATCCCAGCTCCAATCCAGTCACTTATGAACTCATCCTTGAGAGCTGGGTCTAGTCTCCCAGCCTAGTTTATCTGATTTAAAAAAGAAGAATAACCATACAAAGTTGTTTTGAAGGTTAAGGTAATGGTAGTGAATTTGAAAGCAGGCTAGACCACATGTGGAGAGTTTGACATTAGAGAACGGTACCTATTATGGTCACAAATGAATCCTAACCAAGCAATGAAGTGGAATTTTTTTTTCTCTGTTCTGACAGGATCAGTGTTTGACCAACGGTATATGAAGATAAGTAAGAAGCCAAAATGATCTACAATTTAATGTTCAAAATTATTATACCCATGTATGAGATAATGAACCATCTCATACAGTGTTGGTGAAAAGATAAACTCTTGCAAGTTTTCTGCCAGTCCAGGAATTTGTATCAAGACTACTACAAATTTTCACATCCTTTAGCCCAGCAATTACTCTTCTTGGAATTTATCCTAAATCTAATGAAAACCCTGAAAAGGTTTTTTTTGTGTGTGTATTTGTGTATAGTGTGTGTCCATTTAAATATACCAAATGTCTAACAGTAAGTGTATTGATTAAATCATCACTTTCCAACCTCTCATTTAGCCCATATTTTCCAAAGTGGGCGTGGGGGGCAGGGGTGTCCTCCATTAAATCGTTTAAAATTTCAAAATAAATAGGTTGGTTAAAACAAATCAGAATGATGAGGGTGAAAAATAAACCCCAAATTTCTTCTATCTGACTGTGCAGATAATGACCCTCTCCTTAGAATAACTGGGTAACTTAAATTAAGGAATAAGCATGCAATGAGATCTTATAAAGTCAGTAAAAATCATATGATATTTCATGTATAGATATTTTCTTACATAGGAAGTTTAGTAATTAAATTTAATGAAAACAGTAGCCAACACATAGAATATGAAGTAATATAGGATGTAGTGCATATCAGCATACAAAATATGYTGCTATACATGTATGTATCTTCCTTGAAATAGAAGAAAATGTACAAAATCTTTAAGTCATCTGTAGTGTCAAACTAAGTATGTTTTTTCTTAATACATTGTTGAATTATAAAATGTTTCTGTAATTTAGCATAAATTACTTTTCAATTAAAAAACAAATCTCTGTTTAAAAAAATCCTAAAGAAGTAGCCAGTATTCTCTCAATTGCCTTTATCATTTAAATTAAACCACATTCACCACACTACAGGATCATTCCTTTTTATTGGAATTCACATAGTAGTGAATCTTTCTAAGAAAAAATCTCTGTTAAGAACCAGTTTAGGGGCTGGGGATGTGGCTCAAGCAGTAGTGTGCATGCATGCGGCCAGGGTTCCATCCCCAGCACCACGTACAAAGATGTGTGTCTGCCAAAAACTAAAAAATAAATATTAAAAAATTCTCTCTCTCAAAAACAAACAAACAAACAAAAAACAGAACCAGTTTAGTGGCATGGTTAGAGAAACTTGCCTTAGGAGCCAGATTGCCTGAGGATAAGCCAAGCCCCATAGGAATACACAAAGTCTGTGTAGGGGTGGGCAAAATACTTACCTAACTCTTTATATCTGTTTTTTTTTTTAATTATAAACTATAAAATGATGATAGCAATGATGCCTATCTCAAAGGGTTTTATCTAGAGACTGATAGCTGAAGGACACTCAGTAAATATTAGATATTATGACAGATTGAGTACTTGGTTCATTTGTCCCCTACTTTAATTTTTTGTTTTGAAGGTACATTTTGAAAGGAAATTTTTTCTGAAAAGCTTCCAGTTATTTGCTTAATGATTTCCTGAATTCTGAGATATCTACCAGTCTATGTGCTATCAGATATTAAGGGCAATGATTTTAATAGTCCAGAATAACTTGAATAGAAGACTATTCTTCCTTAACGTCTGCTTATATTCAGCATGATGCTGAAGCTAAGGGACTTCTTCTTGATAAATTAAGCCTTGGAACTTAGCCTTGTCTTTTCCTAATCCTTTCTATAACCTCTTTTAATGGTGAATTACCCAAATCCTAATAGTAGTCAGCCATGTTGCAAAAATGACTTTCTTAGAAAATTGCTATTAGAGTTATAAGCAGACATGCAATTCATGATCATTTCATTCTTAATTATTCTGAAGTATACAGTTTGTCAGGTGTTGATGACAGCCCTACCCCTTTCACTTTCAGGCTGGCTAGGCTACATTATGGTTGTTAAATTAGTTTTAGGTCATAAATCTCTTTTAAAGGGTTGGAAATTTTCTAGCTAGACTTTTGGGGAGTGCTCTCTAGACACATAGCAAAACTGTTATTTCCTTTAGCCATTTGGTCTACATTCACTTGTGGTGAAATCCTGGTTTTATTGATACAACCTGGTCATTCCCTCTCTTTTAAAAGCCTGTGGCTGGTTTGAAATTCTGTAGGTAACTCATCTCTCAGAACCTCTCAGCTTCTGTCTCTGACTCCTTTTTTTGAGGCAGGATCTTCTGTACGTCCATGTCATCCATGTTGCTTCAGACTTACGTAAGGCTTGGCCCTCTTCATGTATTAAAATTTCTTTCCTTAATATGAATTTAAAACTAGTGACTTTAAATTCATTTTCATCTTTTATAGAGTCTTTGTTATAACCATAATTTCTAATGAGAATAATTTAAAAAGTTTTATGTTTACTGAATGAATGAATTTATTGTATAGGCATTGCATGAAGTGTTTTACGTCCTCTTAATTTTTATAGAAATATTATGGATTAGATTTGATTATTATCTCACATCTCTTTTTAAGCAGAGAAAATACAGGATTCAAGGTACTGTTTGCCGTGGTCACATAGCCAGAATAGTAGAAGTATTCTGATTGTAAAGCCTGAGCTATTAGCCACTGTGGCATAAATATCTGTATTTATTTGAGGAGGAAGGATTTTACCAAAACGAAACAAAAACAACAACAACAACAACAAAAAAAAAACCTAACTGACCACTGAAATATGTATGACAATATAAAATTAAATCTTAAACTTTATAATAAAATTTTTCAAGGGAATAAAATTGCTACAGACTTTTATGGAAGAGAATATCATAGACAGCAAGAATAATGTTTTAAAAGCTTCTTAGAGAGGATCTTAAGCAAACATGCTCACAGATGTTCTTTCCCAATACTAGTGACCTTATTATTCTTTATATTTTAAAATTCTTAGCCTAATAGTTCTCATATAATACAACCTTGGGTTATTGTCTTAAGAGAGAATAGGACCTTTAATAAAATTACAGTTTATTCAAAATATATTTCAGAGCAATGGTTGTTAAATTAGTTTTAGGTCACAAATCTCTTTTAATAATCTAAAAGAAAATATGGGCTTCCTCCTTATAAGAAAACAAAAAGAGCCCTGACTGCCCTCCTAAAAAAAAAAAAAAAAAAAAAAAAAGTAGACATCATATATGTTTCAGAGTATTCACAGATTCCCTTGAAGTCATCTATGAACACAACATTAAAAACCCTGGCTGTAAATTAGGTAAGGATCAATGTGGCAAGGAAATAGATTACAAAACCCAAGTTGATAAAGAAACTATATTTAGACTTTGATTATTATGATAATAATATTGTTTTTGCTAGCCATTGTTTCTCCTCATTTTCAAACATGGCTTTAGAAGCAATAATTATAAAGTAGAGCTAAGGATGGGGATATAGTTCAGTGACAGAGTGCTTGTCTAGCATGCATGAGGGCCTGGTTTGATCTCTAGTACCATCAACAAACAAACAAACAAACAAACAAAAACAGAGCTAGAGAGGAATTAAAGAATCAACTGTGGCATAGCACTATCAGGTAATTCCATATTTTTTTTCAGAAATTCCTGAGTGAATTCATCTTTCTCTTTCTGCAGTTTTTCCATTTCTTCTCTTTAAATTGCAGTTTAATGTCGAAAGAATAAATAGGACATAGCTGGACATCCTTGGTTCTGACTTAGGGTTTCATCAAAGTTGCCTTAATAGGCACTAGTGGGAGGAAGAAGTGGGGAAAGATCTAAATGGTTTCAAACCTATACATATTATCATTTAAAAAATTTCTGTACCCTAATTACTTATTTCCTAAATGTATAAAAACTCATTTAAGTGAAGTAATGTTTTAAAGTTTAAGTCTCAAGTAATCTTCTGTAGATTTCATCATTTCTGCCCCTAAATCTCCCAAGCTCAAAATAATGTTTTGTAAACATCTATTTAGAGCCTATAGCTAAATAAATTTGKTTTTTTTCTCATTAAATATTAGATCTGAAATTGGAATTAGAGGTAGGGGAGAAACT